GCGTCGCCGAGCGAGCGCGATTCGCAGTTTGTGCAGTGCGTCGAGTGACTGGACGGCGGCGATTCCAAGCGATCCTTGCGTGCATTCCGATTCTTCAGGTCTCTCGTTTACCCTCCACAATCTTGCGATTTCATTCGGCGACGCGATTCGCAGTTTGTGCAGTGCGTTGAGTGACTGGACGGCGGCGATTCCAAGCGATCCTTGCGTGCATTCCGATTCTTCAGGTCTCTCGTTTACCCTCCACAATCTTGCGATTTCAAGTCCGACTTCAGCTCGATCTGAGGAGAACTCAGTAAGTCAGTTTTCAGCCGCACTGGCAATGCACCGGTGATCTCATTGTTCAATCCATGTCAGCGCCGTGGAAATCTTTCGTGCTGCGCGCCCGTGGATTTCACAATGGAATTCCGCGCGCAGAGTCCATTGGTTCATTCTAGTCGCTGTTTATCCAGTCATTGTCTGAATGGTTTTTGCTCGTGGATCACAAAACTCGCCGTTTCTGCAGGTATATTTGAACCCAGTATATAAGCGGATCTGTATGGGTTTTCAGCGGAGTCAGATACGTATGTTATGCAGAGGAAGCAATCGTGATGTGCTCTCGGCGAAAAGCGGCGAGTCTCCTCGTCAGTAATTGGGACTTTGCGCTCTCGAGACGCAGGCGCGAAGACGGGCGCTAACGCAAGCGCCGCTCGATCAATGGGCTCGCCGTTGCGCGTTGCTTGCTTGTGCCTGCGCGCACCGACCTCGGACACGGCTGCGCTGGGCGCGCGAATCTCGGAGTTTGGGACAACGGCGAGGGGCGCGGGATGGGAAGAGGGAGGCGGAGAAAAGGGAGAGGAGTGTGCGTACCGTTCCATTCCTCTCTCGGTGGTTCTCTAAGTATTCTCCCAGGTCCGACCGTTCCTGGGACGTGCGCAGTCGAGCTTGGACTTGGTGCTGGCAGTGGGGTGTTCTTCAGGCGGAAATCCGGGCGCGAGCCTGAGAAACGCAAGACGGCAGAGATGTGTGCGCAGAGTGCAAGGCTGTACGCTGCATTGCTGTCTCGTCCGCGGAGGTGGACAGCACGCGCGCTGGTGGGAGCAGCGGGAGCGAAAATAGAACAGAGACAAATTGGCGGGAGCGGACATGAGAAGAACAGAGGTGAATCCAGCGCGTGTTGAGGAAAATTAAACGCGCGCGGTCCCTGAAGGCAGCCAATCGCCGGTACGATCTCACATTGAAGCAGCGCGAACACCATCGATGTGGCGGCAGCAGCGGCACCGCCATAAGTGCAACGGATCCCTTCATTGCGCTTGCACGTGGGGACTTACGCTGCGGGGCAGTGAGCGGAGGGCGCCCATTTGCATTCAGAGTGGCATTCCCAGTCGCGGTCTGATTCACATTGGTGGGTGCACATGTGCGACGTCCCCAGAACGTGCGCCGCGGGGGGAAGGGGGAGCCTCTGTGCCCCGGTTCGATCCGCGTCGATGTTCTCCAACGAGTGCCAGTCCTGCTCGTGTAGCCGTCTGCTGCGCGATTCTGGTCGCGCCATTCCCCGGGCCGGAAGAGCGGTGGTGGCGTTTTGGCGGTGTACCAGGGGGGCGTGCACGGTGAGCGGTTTCCAAAGGCTGGAGGTGAAAGGCACACGTTTCGCCGAGGGTGAGGACGATCATGCAGTGTGCTTGTACTCGGGAGTCGCGACGCTCTCGCGCGGAGTACTGAGCCTCGGCGATGATGCCACAGGATGTCGGGGTGGAGCGCGACCTTGTTGGGGGAGCCGCCCCATGTTCGGGGGACATGGAACAGGGTTGAGTCGGTCACTGACCAAGGGTTGACATAGTAGAAAGCCGGCGACACTGCCACGGTGCCGCATACGCTTTAGGCTAATAAATATTAATTTACGCTGACGACAGCCGCCTCGGGAACCTCAACTTTAAGTATGTATCGTGGGTTGAGATCGAGCACGCGCTCTGTGCTTTGCAGTGCTCGTGTACTAGAAAGAGGTATTGGGTATATAGTAAGTAGTATTGATTTGGGGATCTCAGACCGGACTGGGGTTTGTACGGCAGAGGGCTGTGCCCATCCGCTCTCTCTCGTAGGCTCGCCCCCACTACACTCAACCGATTTAGTGCCTGATTCGCAAACCGGCAGTGCCTGATTCACAAACCAAAGGCGATGGAAGTCACTGTCGAGTCAAGCGGTAAAAATAGCGACACCCATCTGTATACTTAAATCCACTTACTAGTATCCCCGCAGACTCTGCAAGCCGTGTGTTCGTGTGTTCTTTGCCTAGTCGTGGACGTGATAGGTCACTTGCTGGCTTCATTTGCGAGGCACAGTGCGACTCCGACTTGCTCGTCGATGTATATCGTACTGGCTTTCATGCGGTTCAGCGGATATGGAAAAGCACAATTCGAGCGGAGACCAGCTGCGCTTGTTTGGGGCCAAGAATGAACTCGATGGCACCGCGCGAGCGGCAAGTACGCAGTCCTGTGTGTTGTTGAACTTCTCAGGGCAAAACTTGGAATGAATCGAGACCCCAAGATCTTTGAGTAAGATAACCAATGACAAAACACCCCCAAGGCGGTGGAGGATGCCAGTTGAAAGGGAAAAGGATGTTGCCGTTCGATGTCCCGGTGATCAATGCCAGAAATTGACCTGCAATCCGGCCGTACCAGTACTGAAAAACATCTTGCACAGGTCTCTCTGTGGTTTAAAAACGACTCCACTTTTCATCTCTCAGTCAACACCCTCCTTCTTCTTTCCATTTGCATAATCCAACTTCCAGATGTGCGACGGCGTACCCGACATGAAATCTTCCCTTCTCCTCTCCGAGTCACTTATAGCCCTTGCCCCCGGAACCGTCTGGCGCGACACAGGCATTGTCCTGGCGTCAGTATCGTTAACCGTCTTCCTTGCTCGCCACCAATGTCCATTACGGAAACTCAACATGCTCAAAGCCTCGATCGGGGTTGTGGAAGAAACATTGCAGTACGCCAAGGCAATGCCGACCCACGCAAGCAGCCACGATGAGATAATTGATGCGGAGTCGCAGTTTCTGCAGTACATCGAACAGCTTCTAGCGCCCCAAAAGAACTCATGAATTTCTTTCAGGGTCAAATTATCTGCGTCCAAGATCCAGACCCGCATGCTGGAGATGCGAGATGAGGGCTGGAAGGCATTTTTCAAGAGTCTTGGTGCCCTCGTACTCGCCCTCCGCCATTGCGCTGCACGAGTGAAGGAAATTCAGACCACGCTGCTGGTAAGTTGTGTGGCTTTCAACGGATTCAATACCGATCTCACAAAATTTTCGTAATAGCTCGCCATCGAAGAAGGACACCAACGCAAGTTGAAGGAGGGAATTAAAGAGTCCCGCAAAGCACTGAGCACGGTCGCTCGGTCGCCGACCCGTACGTTCATCACGTAACTGAATGCGCAATTAGATTGGTTGAATAAATCTCAGGTCGGGCATACCGTGCAACTCATCGCTCGGCATCCAGCACAAACAGCTTCCAAGACTCGTATAGGTGCGTCAACTGTTGAGAACCCAAAGGCAGCGACTCTGACTTTTTTTACCAAGCAGTGCCTAATTTCGTCGTTGTCTGAGAGTCTGAGGGAATCCACTTCTCCTCCCACAAGGTTTCCTTCCCTGCTAAAATATAATCATGCTTCTATGCCGGTATTTACCGCGCTTTTCTCTGATAGACTTCCCGGTGCATATATATTATTTTCGTTGACTGTGAGGCCGAGAGTGACGGTCAACAACACAGCTTGTGTTGGCATGTCACGGCACTCGATAAAGGGGGCCCAGGAGCACCAAATTCTGTACATACATAATGAGTGCATTTTCCCCCCCAATGGGACAAGTGCCTTTCCCTTTAATTGTATCGACCGAAATCAAGAAGGGGTCACGATACATCAGGAATTAGATTGGATAACCGCAGAAGTTATACCGGGCTCGAAACCCAGCGGGCCCAAAGTCCAGTGCCGGGTGGCTCACATACAACACCAGTGATGGTGAAGCGGTCACTCTGCAACCAACCGATCAGCAGCAATCCGTGGCTCGGCCGAACTGCTCCCACAAGTATGTTGTGGGTTTTGAGTTTCATTCGAATTAACCGCAAACTAGAGCTGGCCCCGCAATGCAACGAAATGGATCGAAATTGATCGCACTTCCATATATGGGTTCTTGCTTGATTTTACCTCTCCACACCGTACAAACATTGAAGGGAGGTGCCTGGCAGTAGCTCCAGCTGCACCGCGTACGACTTCATGAGCTTGGGTAGCTATGCGGGGTTTTCCGGGACCATACATTTGACAGAAAGATCAAAATGACCTTGGGCCTTCGGTGTGTTTCTTCACAACTTTGAGGGCACATGGCTAAAACAAATAAGACACTCCGCTTGCCCAAACTTCAATCTACATGGGGCTACAGGGCCGCGGCGTAGGGCCCTGAAGTGGTACTGGAGTGAGGAGGAGACCCAGGCGCGGAGGAGGAAAAACCTCCAAATGCGGAAGCGATCACTCAAGCCATCACGTACAAACATCAATTCGGGAACTTTACTGCCCGTCGTTTGTGGGTCCGCCGCTGGTAGCGACCATTGAAAAGCCATTTAGATTGGCATGTCCAAGTACAGGAATGATTCTGTAGTCCTCTTAAAGTAGCCCTCGACCGCTATCGTGTTAAGGATTTCCAGCGGGCAGCAATTGTATCGAGCCGCAACGGTCCAAGCCCACACTCAAAGAAAATTTACTCGGATGCAGTGGGATTCAAGAAGATTTTAGGACACAGTTTTCAAATATCTGTAAGCACCCCCCGTCTGCAGGAGAAATGGCAATGATATTGTTTGGGCTTGGGAACAGAATATTAACCAGCTGCGCAGTAACAGGGAAAATCTAGCAGTAAGTTAAGTTTCTATGACCTGGTTCAGATCAGTTTCTCCCCAATCGGAAAGGGTGATGACGATATGAAACAGGAGAGGAGGAAAAAGAGGGCGAGAAAAAGAGGGCGAGAAAACCAAAAATACACTGAAGGGGAGTCGAACCCCTGCCGCTTGCTTACAGTTGGACGATGCCAATGCTGGAAGGCAAGCATGATACCGTTTCACCACCAGTGTGTGGGTGGTAGATGATTAGCATGCGACCACACAAGCCCGCCGCCAATCCAGCCAAACCCCGCTTCCTTAGATTGGCACAGGCTCTACTCGCAGCGTGCATCAAAGGATTTGTTAAAGACAGACAAAAGTTGGGTTAAGGTGGCGTTAAACTAATTTGATTCATCATCAGAGTCGATCATCTCAGCGTTTGCGGGATTTCCGGCCCACGTTTCCCAATTGATGGGTTTCGTCCAAATCCGGGCGGGATCGGTGGAGCTCGTGTCGCGGAGGCGAAAGATGCGAGCACGACATTTAGAACGAGCGGTGAGGGTGCCAAAGTGGGAGGCCATTCCGATGGCGTCGTCGTAGGTTTTATTGCATTTATTGCACATGAACATCTAGAAAAAACAGCACATGAATAAGAGTTTGTGATGTAGAAAAAACGACGGACGGGATGTGAGGGTGGCGGCGGTGACGGCGGCGACGGCTTGAAATTGAGTGAGATGAATAAGAGAAACGGAGGGCAGGAACACACTAAATGTGGGCGCTTAGGAAGAGGAGCATCGTCCGAATCGTTGTCGTTGTTTCCCTGTCAGACGAGTCAGGAAGAGCGACAATCGAGGTGAAATGTGAGCGCACCTCCGAATTTGAGACCTAAAGAACCATCATGGTACACATCAGCGATTGAATTGCGAGTGAAGCGGCGACTGACGCTGGTGCTCCGAGGGCGCTTGGACGACCCTTGGACAAACTCGGGCACGTTGCTCTTTCTGGCCTGCTCGACACAATCAGTGAAGGATAACAGACGCATTGTCGATATACCTTCTCGATCTTTGCCTGCTCGGCCAGCCAATCCGCAATCATGACGCGAGGACCGAACTCGGCGGTCCGGTCTTTGGCTGACTTACCCTTCCCCTTGGCACTCGCCTTGTCCTTCTTCGCGTTCGCAGACTGCGGTTGGAGGATGAAGAAAAAAGTCGGTTGACACTTGGACGCAGAGTCCGCGAGGTGCTCTCGAATGTCGTGGTATTGACGGCGGCATGTCCCTCCGCAGCGGTGCAGTTTCCGCGTCTCGCGTCCGATGAACTGATCGGGAGGTGGTGCCTGGTGCGCTGTCATTGAACAAGAAATCTGGTACCCCAGACGATTAGCGTACCTTCAGATCCCATGAGAGACGGCCCCCTATTGGCTTTCCCTCCGCGAGCGTCTTGTACTGATTTTTGATCCTGCATTTGGTGCTTTCGAGATGCTTCCCGATGTCGACGTAGTTTATCCAGCAGCCCATGCAATGACCGGGGACAGCGATCTTGGCGGCAGCGGCGACCTCCTTCTTCTTGCCTTTGGCCGCTGTTAGCCACGTTAGCTTGGCCGGCGCGGCGTTCACGGTCGATGGAGGGTCGACGTCCATCAAGTGCGTGAGGTCGGTGAGGGCGGCGGCGGCGGGGACGGGGACGGGAACGGTGGGCAGCTTCAAGCAACGGGCTTGAGAGCGGGTGGTCGCACTGCAAAGAGGAACCCGATGAAAGGCGATCACATGGATCTTCAGGTCGTAAGCCGTAAACTTATGAACACCGCACGACGGAACGGGACATTGCTGGGCATCGCCGCCGTCGTCGATCTCTTGCACGTGGTCTAGCAGATGGCGTACGAATTGCTCGTGTCGAAGAAATCTAAGACGGGTGAGCGGACGAGTGGTACGACTTGAAGAAAAAACGTACTGTAGCATGCGCCGTTCGATGCGGAGATCCTCGTTGAAGACACAGAAAGGGCAAAGCGCGGGAGCGTGGGCGACCCCCAGACGAATATCGCCGTGAAATTCAGGATGAAGGCCGGAAAACCCAGTCGAATGGGCGTAGGCGACGGTCGTCCGCTCAGCGTTGAATTCGACGCCGATGGGGGTGAGATCGACGTCGGTCTCGACACGGTGAGAGAACGGACCAAAGAGAGCGTCGAGATGGTCGGACTGGTGTTCTGACCACACGATGCCATCTCCGACGTCGTCTACATACCTGAGTTGGCAATGTAAGCACAGTCGAATGAAAAAGACGGAGAGGAACGTACCATTCGGGACAGATGGCGCAATACTCCACCTCTATCGACTCCTGGACATTGATTCCGTGGACCTCGCCGAAATGTCGTTCCCAATCATCTACCCCCTCTGCCTTGCAGATGGTGCCGCCGACCAACGGCCAGAGACATTGTCGGGTGGTGACGACACTTGTGGGAGGGAGCTTGAGCGTGAGGAGGTGCTTCTGGATGTGAGCGACGAAATCTGGGCGCGTTTCGAAACGGCTCTTGTCCTTGCACTTTTTCCAATCACAGCGACGGGGCTTGTACGCATCTTCGACCTGTTTCTGAACAGATTTTTGCTGAGCACGATGGAGACATGCATGGATATGGGAGCCGACGGTCTGGGAGCCTGACTTGACAAAGGCACGCGGGCTAAGGATGGTGATTAGTTGAGTAGCACGCAAACAAGATGAAGAAGCCCAACGCACCTGCAGTCTGTAGAGCACACGGGACACTTTTCATCATCCGTCGGAGACTCCCCCGGGTAGCATGCTGCAAAGGTACGCTCCGGCGCTCCGAGATACGCGCGAACGGCGGCCTCCGTCTCGTCGACAAGGCTCAGACCCTCGAAGCGGTAGAGGATGTCGCAGAGGCGGGCGGCCGGGTCGATCGCCTCGATGGTCGCGAGAAGAGACGTCGGTACCGCGGCGGGATTTTCTTTGCCGCTCGAACTTGAAGCAATTACGCGATGCGCGACGGGCTCGACCGCCTGGCGCGTCTTGTCCTTCAGCGGCGACCTCGCGAGTGCCATTGAGGGTGCAGATGGCCCGGCCTGAAGGTGGTCAGACGTCGACGAACAGAGCACCAGCCATCGCGCACGTACCTCGCCTCGTAATTGACGCCCGGCCACACCGTCGAAAAACTCCTCCCGCGCGATTTTCAGCCGATGCTTGGCTTCGCGGTTCACGATCGAGTCGTATTTGGCGCGGAACACGTCGTGCTCGACGCGGCGAGAGCGGAGACGGCCTTGAAGGCTCGCAAAAGCCTCGTCAGCGTCGGGATCCTCGTCGTCGAGTGTCTTGATCTCGGTGACGGTCGCGGCGATGTCAAACTTGAACTGCGGGACGTGAGCAAAAAGGATTGGAGAAAAAGATAGCAGAGAATGCGTACTTTCACAAGAGTTGCCCGCATCTCCGCAAGCTCGGGTTCACGCTCGAGCGCAGCGCGTTGCTGAAGCGTGAGCGCCGTGGGAGCGCCTTCCGCCCGCGTCATGGCGGTAGCGGCCTGTGGATGAAGGATACATGAGAGCACAGCGCAATATATACGGGGGACACGCACCTTGGCCAGTGCTACGGCGTGAGGGTCTTGTGCTCTTCCATCCCGGATGCTGGGGAGGTCGAGCGTTATGGCCCGCGTCTGATAGCACCTCTAAAGTAAAGAAAATATGAGTCGTGAACTGGATATGAATTGTGGAGCACGTACAACAAAAGTATCGGTTCCGGGTGCGTGTGTCAACATCATATCCCGATCTTGTTCGCTTAGCGAGTTCTGGAAGGCGTTCGCGGCGGTCCTGCGCCAACAATGCATCGTGATATTAACTGGGAAGAAGATCAGAACTTGGCCGAATACAAAGGGGAAAAGCAAAAGAACATACGCAGGTATCCCAACTCTGCGCACATCTTCCGGAGATGGTTGTTGTGCGCGCTAGCCTTGAGCGCCTGGGTGGCCGATGTGCGCCACTTCCCATCCTCGCCGAGCTCATCGCTGCGAAAGACTGGCTGGTTCTTGGCCTCGTCCTTGATCCGGAGCTCGTACTTGGCGGTGGGCGGGATGGCGGGAGACAGGATCTGGTCGATGGTCTCGACCCCGTTCGCAAAAATACGATCCCGCAAGGCCAAATAGAGCAGAATTGTCACGAGACATCCGGCGCGCGCACCCAGAGGCTGGAGGATAACATAAATCACGCGATAGAATGCGGGGTCGTCGCGATGGCCTTTGCCGTTTCGGAGGCCAATGCCGGTCGCGATAAATGGGTGGAAAGGATCGGCGGGGTTGGGAAGCACGGAGAAGATGATATCGCGCCATTGGATTGACTGATTGGTGTTCTGGTAATGAGTCGCCTCGACGATGCACCCGATCCGCTCGCCCGTCAACGAACCCATGATATTGACGCCGTTAAACTGGACGCGACTGCGATTAGTACGGAAGAAGTGCGTATCGTTCAAGCTATGGCGGATCATGGCGTCAAGGTCTAGTGGTGTAGCCAAGGGTTTCGGACGGATTTCTGTGGACAAAGTGACAAGGGAAGCGAATTCGAGGGAGTTGAGATATGCGAGAACCTGGAAGCGGAGCTGGGTCGGCACGGCCTGATTCGCGTAACGAGGCCAGCATGCGAAAAATGTGCAGATATAGTGGAGCACGCTGCGACGAGCGCTGTTTTCTGTGATTCGTCCTCTGAGGGCAGCAGCGAGGTAGAGAACAAATTCTTTTACGATGTCTGTAGCAGCAATCAGTGCAAGAATCAAAACGAGAGGAAGGCGCGACGAACCTTCAGTAACCATTTTGGCGCCGAGAATAATATCGGCGGGGAGAGTCTGGAGGCGGTGAAAGTCGGTGAATTCACGCCATTTGTTGCGAACATTGTCATGAAACTCGACGGTCGGCTGGGCGAGGAAGCTGACATGGTGGACGCCGTCCAGTCCTTTCGCGAAGACGTCGGCGAGCACAGGGTTGTCGGCTAGCCGCTGCGCGATGCGTTCGGCATCGGTTCGGACGGGGGCAAGGAGAGGCATGGGGGAAGAGAAAAAGACCAAGAAGAAGAAGAATATAATAGACCAAGAAGGAACGCTCCCCCAGTGGGCGTTAAAGGCAAGCGGGAACGCACATTGCTCAGTTATATACCCAGCAACTGAATGGAACGGGGATGTTACGTCTTGTTATCTGGCGCCGGGTGAGGACATTGTGACTTGGAAGAGGAAAGACGTCTAAGGTGAAGGTTGAGTGTCAAACTA